AGGGTAGACCCAGAAGTGTGGAGTTGCATCAGATGGTGTGGGGAATTTCAGGAGTCACGCTTTTGTATATCAGGCAGAAGCATGCTTTAAAATGTCCATTTCAGGTCTACCATTCTTTGAATGCAGTGTTTCCTTAACTGATTGCTGTCATGTGGGAAAGCTGTAAAAGGAAATAACTCCAAATCCTCTAGCTTCCCTTGCTGCCAAGCAGTGAGAAACACTTGAGATTTAAAATAAGTTCACATATGATGTCTTATGGATAAACCGAGTCCTTCTCTTGGGGATATACATGACATAGTTCTATTTACTGATTGCAAAATGAAGCTCTCGTCTCTGTCATAGGTCAGGACTTGGTCTTTTGCAAAACTGAGAACTTTTTGCAAAAATGTCAGCTATGAAACCTTGGGTTTATTCATTCCGTTTCTTTATTCTTTTCAGATTAAGTGCCTCTTGGATAAAGATAGGATTTGAATGACCAGTGACAATATTAAAATTTGGTACTTGGTATTGAGAAAAGTCACAATGACATCTCACATTAATTAAAGCTAAGCACTGGCTCTGGGCCAGGACTGAGCGTAGGGTTGGGATTTAGAAGTGAATCAGACCAGATTCTGCTCTAGTAAAGTTTTAATTTGGCCAAGAATGAGCTCAGTTACTAACAGTTTTAACATGCCATATGCCAAAATTCTACCACGTTTGTCCTTCAATGTGCCAATTTCCTGGGGCTCGACCTAGTGTCACGAAGAGTGCTCAATGACACTGTGGGACCATGTCTCGGCGTCTCCCCACACTGCATCACAGGAGTGAGATTTACGGCTGAGCTCAGGCTGGCCAGGCAGGGGATCTGGGAGGATCTGATGCACCATGAATGAGCTGTGGGAAACAGTGTAAAGAGATGAAGCTGAATGAGAAGTGAGATTCTTCAGGTCTTATGAGGATATTAACTTTAATCCCAAAGACATCAACAAGGTCCAGCCATAGGCTGATAAGACCCAATGGTAGGATTTTAAAGGCCACTTTGGATTCATTGTCATGGGCAGGAGTGACTGGGATGAAGGCAGTCCAGGAGGCTACTGAAACTACAGGCTGGCCGTCCTACATACAGCCTACTCCAAATGTGGACTCTTTAGTTCACGGAGTGATACTGGAGCTCAGGACACAGTGAGAAAGCCGAGGTCTTGACGGTTGAAAGCGTGCACAAGGTCAGTGGCAACTAGAAATCTGACGTCTGACCCACACAGCTTCCTGGTAGCTCTGAGTCCATTTATCCTAGGAAAGCATCTGTTTTCAATAAAAAGTATTCCTGCCAGCTTGGTAGCACACACCTGTTATCTCAGGAACTGAAGCAAGTGTTAATCAGTCTTTCAAGGCCATCTTGAGCTTTGTAGTGAGTTTGAGGCTACCCTGGGCTGCATAAGCCCCTGTCTACAAAATGGAAGACATAAATGATTACTACTAATTCAATTAATATATAAAGTAGCAGTTTCTTCTTTTTTTTTTTTAATTTTTCCACTCCAGATTTTTATTCCCTTCTCTTCTAGCCTCCAACTGTTCCACATCCCATACCTCCAATCCACCCCTCCTTGTCTCCCTTCTTGCCCCCCCCCCTCCCTTCCTCCCCACCATCTCTCTCTCCTCTGTACCTTTCTACCCCAGTATTCCTCCCTCCTTTCTCTGCATGTATGTACCTTCTCACCTTTATCCCTTTAAAACTCTTTTCTTCCCACACTGCACCAGCCTCTTTGTCTCTTGGCCTCTACACACAGTTCCACCCACCTAAATACATGGATTTAGAAGTTGGAGAGTAGGGGGTGAAATTCTTATTTTTAGCTAGTGTTTGTGACAGAGATTGAAGTAGCACAGGACATGACTTGATGATTGACTATGTTAAAAAAAAACAAATGTATTAAGTTTATAAGGTTTTTGTTTGATTGATTTTTAATATTAGTCTGTCCTGTCTCATCCCAACCAGTGAATTTGAAACAACTTTAAAAGCCATGTGGAGAGGGCACTGGAGAGATGGCTTGGTCCTTGATGCTTTTTGTAGAGGACCTGGGTTCAGTTCCCAGCTCCCATGTGATCACTCATCCATCTCTAACCACAGTCCCACTGTTCCCAGCCCTTGTCTGTCCTCCATGACGGCTCCATGAACACGATTCCCCTACTTACTGCAGCAAAACACTCATACACAAAATGGAAAAAGAGAGGGGGGGGAATTAAATCTTTTAAAAGGAAGCTCTTATTTTAAAAGAGAAGACCAATTGTAAAGCTTTTGATTTTTAAATATGTGCGCCTGTGCTCTACCTCAGCTGGTGATTGTTCTTGCTGCCTGAGAATGCAAACCTACCTTCCAGATTTCAACTCACGGATCCCATATGGAGGTGGGAGGAGAGAATTCCACAAAGTGCCATACATGCACACATCATCATACTTCAAGAAAAAAAACCAAGTATGGCAACCAGACACAGTGATCTATAGCCTTCACGTTCATGAGTCTGGGGCAGGAAGTTTGCCATGAATTCCAGACCCGGGATACAGTGAGATAACCTGTCTCAAAAAACAAATTCCAACCAAGTACTTACTACCTCTAAAATCAACAAAGACTCTATGTATCCTGACAAGATACAGAAAGGATATGAGCCAAAATAATGTCAGGGTAGACAGCAAAACTGATGACATCCTGCGTCAGCTGATCCCACTGCCTTTAGGTTTTTTGCTTTGTTTTATTTTATTTTGAATAGACTTGTCTGTTCTGGGATTCACTTTGTAGACCAGGCTGGCCTTGAACTCACAGAGATCCACCTTCCTCTGTCTACTGAGTACTGGAATTAAAAGTATTCACCACCACACCAGCTTTCAAAACATTTGCTGGGAGCCAGGAGCAACTCTAAGATAGACATCCCAGCTTATGTTTTGAGATTTGTGTGTGTGTGTGTGTGTGTGTGTGTGTGTGTGTGTGTGTAGTCAAAATAGCAAATATTGAAGTTTCTGTGAAATAAATTCTATTTAGATTTATTGTGAGAAGTCAGAATTTCCTGGATATGTATATTGAGCCTACATGTTATACTTGAAGGAATTCTGTTACTTACATAGTATGACTACCCCCTCGGTGAACCGTCTTTCTCTACGGTATAATATAAAACTGAAACCTGTGTTTCATTATATATTAGTAATTTACTTTCAGATTGTAGAGTGGTGTACGTGGCCACTGCTGAGATATTACATTGCTAAGGGGGAACATTTTCTAACATACACAGTGGGAAACCTCACAGTTCTGTGCAAACACTGGAGTTCATAATATTTCCTATGAAAGATCTCTCCTCAAGAAAGCTGAGTATACCCAGGGGCATGGTATAGAGGTCTACATTTTATTCTATAGCCATGATGTTGCAATTAATTTCAAGACACAGCTTATAGTTTGCACTTTAGTGTCTAAGGTTTTATCAAACTGTGGTGTTGGAATAGTTGTTGTCTGGCAGATGACACACAGAGCTAGTTTTTTCAGGGTTGGGTAAAGGCTATGAGCTCACATGTTTATCGGCTGTAGCTCTCTAAGGCTGTGGCCTTTTCCCCCTTTGAGGAAATGTTTTTTGGGGGGATACCTTTATTTTATATTGTTTTTTAATACATGATGATTAAGATTTGGCCCAGGGCCTGGCTGAGGTTATTCCTTGTCTTCTCTTAAAGACATGGATCCCTCAGAATGCCAGCCATTCCAACAGAGATTTGGTTAAGCAACTTAGCTATTTTGTGTTTTAACTGGCTTTAGAGGCCAGTTGATCCAGAAGATTCCAAAGCATGCTCTATAGAGCCCTAAAGGTCCTACCTTGTCTCCGTGAAGCCACTGACTCTTGTTTTCTTGGTCTTGTCTCTTTGGGTGGCTAAGTTTTCGGTGGAAGAATACATGAAGCAAACCAAAAAATGAACAACAGTGGCAACACCAGATTATTTAAAAACTAGTAATTCAGCTAGTACTTCAAACAAGTGAAGGAATTTGCATAAAATCAGAGACTGAAGGTAAAGGCACAGTGGCATATGCCTAGGATCCCTAGCACTTAAGAGGCAGAGGCAGGAGAATTGCAAGTTTCAAGCCATTCTGGGATGTATAGCATGTCTCTGTCTGACAGAAAACACCCAGGCCAGGATAATCTTCTAGTCCCTGTTTTAGTGCTACATACTGGCGCCATACTGGAGTTAAGAAAGTTGGATGCACGAGCCATTTGAATCTTTAGGTAGCTTGATCAGTGTTGATAGTTGTGAAGGCTGGGTAGAGTCTGTCTCCAGATATGGAGTAAAGGCAGGATATACTGTAATACTTTTATCTAATATGTCTGTGTGTCTTGAGCATTTTAATTTGGAACTTTACATTCCCTTCCTTTGAATATTTTGTACTATTAGGATTTCTAACATTAACTTAAGACCTGAATAGATTCTTTTCATTTTTTCATAACCCTCTTGAAAAGAAAAATCCTCAAGAAATCTTGACTGTGATTTTAGGGCGAAGTCAGTCACTCTCAAGACAACTCTGATTGCAGGTAGACCGCTAAGCTTTGTTCCTGTGGTCTTGGGGACAGGCTCTGGATGTGGTCAGGCCCTACTTAGGATGTGTTAGTGATGTGTAACGTAACTCCACAAGCCATGTGGGAGGCCTCAAGCTAGATATTTTTACCTCTGTATAAGGAGGTAGGTCTTTTTGTGAGTCTCTGGGCTGCCACTGTATTCTTCCTCAGCAGTATGCGTATCTCTAAGTCATGGCTTCTCTAAAGGTCAAAATACACCAAAGGAAAGAAATTGCTTGTGTTCCTGACGCAATTCCCCGTCTCCTCAAGGATAAGATAATGAGTTACATTTCTTGGTCTCTAGAGGACATAAGAGTAATGGTTTCTTGAGTAATCGGAGTAAAGGTAGTTCAGTTTAGGAAGAAAACATCCTCAATTTCTAGGCCCATGTGAAACTTACATTGAAGTAAAGCAAACGTTTTCTTCAATGCTTTATTTTAGGGTTTGCCTCAAAGGACTCTTCAAGAACTGAACAGAGAAATCCCAAGCGAGCTGCCTGAATCTTCACGAATTCTCTTGTTCTGCCTTCCATATAAAGAACCAGGGCCAATCGAATTGGTGACTTTTGGTGAGTGCACCTCCCAGAATCCTTTTCTTCCCTACTTTTAAGTAGGAACATAATCTCCCTCCCTATCAAACATAGGATGTGCGCCCGGTGTGTTTACATGGTGAATTAGTGAATTAGAATGATGCGTTTCTTTGAGCCCACACTACAGATCCTTATTTCTCTGTCCATGTCACATCTTGGTGGTTTGGAAGGACATGTCTCTTCCTGTAGAAAGAGACTGGAGTAACCTGGGCTGCTGCCCACAGTCTACCTTTGACTTCTCAGAGTACATTAGTATTTCCTTCCTCCCTCCCTCCCTCCCTTCTTTCCTTCCTTCCTTCCTTCTTTCTTTCCTTCCTTCCTTTTTTTCTTGTTTTGTTTTTTGTGTTTTTTTTTAATTTATGCACTTTACATCCCTGATTGCTGCTCTCCTCCCACAGTCCCTTCCCCCATTGTTATGTTTTAAAGACAGGATCTCTTGTAGTCCAAGGTAGCTTTGAACTTTTAACCTTCCTGCCTCTCCAACCTACAGTCATCAGTATTTTGACATCTTTGTGATATACATGTGATATACAAGGAAGGGTCTCTGTACAAGACCAGACAAGATGTGATGGTATTTGATTTTGGGAGTCGTCTTCATACCCTCTGCAAATTGGCCTTCTTGCTTGTTATTTAAGCAGAAGTAGCTAACACATCAGGCTTTCCAATTCATGACACTGTCCTTTCTTTCATAGCCATCTTGCTTCGCAAACCATGTCTTCAGGGTTCATAGAATGCTCGTTTCATTGCAGGACTAATCATACTCCGTTGTAAGGCATGGACCAGGTTTTGTTAATTCCTGTTCATCAGACATCAGGGTTGTTCCCTGTTTTTGGCTACTGTGAATAATATGCCCAAGAATACCTGAGTCCGGCTTTTATTTTCGATTTACATCTATCAGTGGAAGTTGGTAAATCAATGTGTTTATAGATTTTCTTTTTTTCTTCCTGAAGTATCAACAGATTGTTTTCCACCATTGTTTTTGTATTGTTACCATCATTGTACAAAGAGGTCTAGTTTGTCTGCCTAACTGGCTACTGTACAAACGTCTTGACAATTGATCGACATTATAATGAGGGTAAAATGATATATCAAACTGCCAGGAAAGGTGCTGGAAAGATTTTACATTTTACATTGGAAGCATACGTAGATTCTGTCCATAATAAAGCTGGACTAGAGAAATTCCTGGAAACGCAGTTCGCCCGTAGTATTGTTGGTAGGCTAGTTTAGTTTGACTTCTCTCATCCCTTAGGATTAAGATGCTCAATGTCTTTTTGTGTGCCTATTGTATCTTGAAATGTGTGTGCTAGTCCCCCACTCGTATGTTAATCAAGTTGCTGCCTGCTTTGCAGCTAAGGTTGTGGTTCTTTATGGATTCTGGGCGTTGGTCCTTCATCTTAAGTGAAGACAGAAGTTACTAAGATGTCAGGAATGAATGCCACATGTTCAACTTTCGTCTGCATTGTTTTTCTTCTAGGCTTCAGTTGTTTGTCCCACAGCCTTTGAGGAAACAGATAACTCATGTAACTAGCATACAGTAGTGAGATCGGTGAGCATTTTCACTCAGTGAAATACCCAACACAAGAACACCACAAGCTGATAGTATCTTAAGTTTACATGTGCACATCTGTGCACATGTGTTATAAGGATATTCATTTGGAAACAGGGAACGAGGGAGGACACACTCAATGTGGTTGGGAGTGGAGAGCTTTAGGTAGATGACTGCACCATTCACAGAAAAATCAAGTGTTCCTCACGCTGCATCAGAGAAACTCGCCTACCCACAATACTATGGACAAACTGTGTTTCCAGAAGTTTCCCTAGTCCTGTCTTATTGTGGATGGAACCTATGTATGCTTCCAATATAAAATGTGAAAATCTTTCCAGCACCTTTCCTGGCAGAATTTTGAGAAGGAGGAAGGAACTCCTGGCTGTGTACACTGCCCCTCCTAGTATCAAAGGTCTACAGTGAGCTGACTGCTCTCTGTTGAGCCTGAGATAACAGCAGGGTTGAATTTTTGCAACCCGTAGTTACAGGATTTTCTGATGGAACAAGATTCGGTTAGACTTTCAACATCAGAACACTTGGCGTGGGGAATCAGTGTCCAAATTCCAAATCAGTTAGTGCTAAATCTGTTAGCTTAATCTTCAGGACAGAGTTTAGCAGGCCCACACCTTTCCTGGTTTACACTGGGGTTGGTTCATAAGGAGGAACTCTGTGGGCCACTGTGGGCCATTCTCATTCTTGTTTTACCATAAATGGGGATTTGGAAAAAAGAATAACTAAGTGAATTGCATTTTCTTATTTTGGATGGCATACGATAGCCTATGCTTTCTAAAAATAGTTTGTGAGACTGCGTAGTGCATTTCCCTTGAAAGTCTCTTCACATGTGATTACCTCAGAGCACCCACTCTGTCCATGTGGGCTCAAGAACAAATGATTACCTTGCATAGAGGCTGTTTTTATTCAATGCTCAACTGAAATATTAACTCCAAATATGCATGGTAAAAGCAGAGAGCAATATTGTTTTGCTTTCTAGAACTATTAATATAGTCAGTCGTCAATCCAAGCAACTTTGACTGCCTAGGCAGGTTGTAGAAGCTGGAAAATGGCTCTTGTTGCCCACCGCTTCTCTCCTTCCTCATAACTTCCGTTTCCTCAGAAGTAAACAAAGCAAGTCGTTTGTTCCAAATAACATGCTCATTTCACCTTCAAAGCTCATGTATGGATAAATGAACGTTTCATTTTTTTTCCAGCCGAGCTCTCCTTCCTTCCTGATCATGAGCCATGTATAGTCAAATTATTTAAACAAGCTCTAAAAGCAAGTAGCCATCAGATAGCCGAGTAGCTTGATTCCCACTTGTTACTGTGGTTACTTATTAACCAAGGCAATTACAGTTGGGAGTCAGAGATACTAAATGAGAGTCTTAAGACGAGAGGAAAGCACATTAACAAGAAAGGAAAGCAAGAGCCAATGAGGAAGGAAGATGATGGACGACAGGAGGAACTGGTTGTTCCAATGCGTGTTCCCTCAGCTTTGCCCTGTGTGTCCTCTCCTGTATGGAACGAGGGCCATGTGACTGATGGGAGGCTGAGGACCTTGGGGGTTTGTGTGCTCTTACCCTGAGACATTTGTGAGCTTCTGAATCGCCTGGTTAGTACCAGATTAACCTGTGAGCTCCTTTCGGCAGGACCCCCCACTATGTGGCAGAGACCTCCCCAGGAGCAGCGGTATTCCCAGGGAAGGTTGGAATGCCGACTCCCTGCCTGGACATTGCCACTGTCTTCCACTAGAACATTCCTCTATTTATTTTCTTTCTTTACAGAGACTAGTGTAGTTGTAGTGCTCTATAATACAGCAATAGCATTGGAAAGTAGATATTTTTTAGATTTATTTATATATATGAGTGTTTTGCCTGCATGTGTGTATGATGCCCATGTGCGTCTGGTGCTCATAGAGTTCATGAGAGATTTGGATCTCCTGGAGTCATGGATGGCTTTCCACCACCATGTGAGTGTTGGGAACCAAACCTGGAACTTCTACATAGCAGTAAGTGCTCTTATTCCTTGAGCCATCTCTCTAGCCCCATCAAAATAGGCTTTTAATTTTTATTTTTTTTTTCCCCTTCCTTTCTCTTGCTCTGACTCAAACTCCAGACACCCATGTGAGGGCATCAGATCTCATTCCAGACAGTTGTGAGTCACCATGTGTTTGCTGAGATTTGAACTAATGACCTCCTGAAGAGCAGTTGGTGCTCTTAACTGCTGAGCCATCTCACCAACCCTGTTACTAATTTTTTAAATTTATTTTATTAGTTTATATGTGGGTGTGTTTTATCTGAATAAATGTATATACACTGCATGCATGCCTAGTATTCACAGAGGTCAGAAGAGGGCATCCAATCCTCTGGAACTGGAGTTACAAGAACTGTGAGCAGACAGGTGGGTGCTGAGACTTGAACCTGGGTCCATTACAAGAGTAATAAGTGCTTTTAACTACTGAGCCATCTTTCCAGCCCACGAAAATATTTTTAACTTCAAAAATACCTCACACTCAGTTTTGTTTTAGTTTTTTATTTTTATTTTTTTATTTTTTGGTTTTTGGAGACAGAGTTTCTCTGTATAGCCCTGGCTGTCCTGGAACTCACTCTGTAGACCAGGCTGGCCTTGAACTCAGAAAGAAATCCGCCTGCCTCTGCCTCCCAAGTGCTGGGATTAAAGGCGTGTGCCACCACTGCCCGGCAGACTCGGTTTAAACACTTAAAATTTTTTTTTGAGAATTTCCCATATGACTACTATATTTACTTTATTCCCACCCATCCCTCCCAGTCTCAAATGCCTCCTATGTTACATACAAGACCTGGTGAATCCAGGCTGTGTTGCTCAATGTTTAGGTCTGACCACTTGGGATTGGATGGCCCATTGGTGTTATTTTGAACCTGAAAAAAACCCAGCTGATTCTCCCTCTCGAAGCAGCCATCGATTGCCTATGGTTTGTGTGGGACCTTGTGAGATTCCCCTCCTCCGCACTGCTGTTGACTGCTGTTTCCATTCTGTATGTCTTGTTTAGGCAGCCATATTGTTGAGATTTCATGGGTGCAGAGCTTCCCTGGCATAATAAGATGGCACCATCCAACAGCAGACTTCCTGGTCCTCTGGCTCTCGATAATTTTCACTCCCTTTTTGCATTTCGCCGAGCGTTATTCAGGATTGTGTTATAGAATCTGCGCTATCGCCTTTAATCCCAGCACTTGGGAGGCAGAGGCAGGTGGATGCCTGAGGCCAGCCTGGTCTACAGAGTGAGTTCCAGGACAGCCAGGGCTACACAGCGAAACTGTGTCTCGAAAAACGAAAACAAAACAAACAAAAACCAAAACAAAACAAAAAAACAAAAAAAATCTGCGCCATCTCTTTGCAGTTTGGCCAGTTCTAGATCTCTCTAATGGCCTCCAGCTGCTGGTTAAAAACAAAAAACTTCATT